GGATGACCATGTGTAAAACCTTCTAGTTAGGGGTGCCGATTTTTGCATCGTTTTCTGTGGAGCAGTGATTGAGGTGCTACAACTTGAGAAATAATGCGGCTTCAGTGGACTTCAATAGTATGACCTGCTTTGATAGAAAAATACAAACTAGTTACATGATGGTGCAAATTTGGTCAAAAAGTGTCAATGTTTTCGTCTATTCCGATATTCTACCCACCATAAAATCTTTATTCTTCACCCTTAGAGGCTGATTTTGTTTCCTGTGATTGGTATCAACAGGAGCTTTACAGATATTTAAGAATGTTTAACTCAAAAACTGATGAAACCAATGACTCCACATTTTCCTTTAATGTTTTACTTAACATGTGTATGCCTAGAAAAAGAAAAAAATCTGATAGATATAAGAGGGTTAGGCGTGAACTTAAAAAAAAATTGGTGAATTGAGGTGGAATGACCCACGTGTGATGCAGATTATTAATGCTAGTTTGGCAACTTATAGTTATTTTAACCCTTGTGCTTTTCAACTATTACCTGTTGCACTTATAAAACCATTCTGTTTTTTAATCAAACATTCCTCTTTTTCTTCTCTTGACCTTATTGAAACCCAAAACAGAGAAAAGTACTGAAGTGCTCATTTGTCCTTTTCCACAACATGAACTCTCACATTTAATGAAGGTACCAAAAAAAGAGAAATGACCATCAAGGCCTTGTTATTACGCTGCTTGAGGTTATATTTTATGTTTTACCTGCGCGACTATATGATATTTTCTTTTTTCAATCACTAACTTGCTGTTTGGTCATAAGACCGCTTTTGAACAAATAACAAATATCCAATAAGGGTTGTTTAGGATTAATGAGTGGTATTAAAAACTGCAGTTAATATCTATGTTTTACAACTAATTCTAGCTATGATGCAGTGTATCGTTTATAAATTACTTCATACTTGTACTATGGAATAAAGTTTGTACCTGCTTTGCAACAACAACAAAATCGAATTAAATACGATGTTTTTAAAGACTAAACCAGTGTTTTCCAACCATTCTTGTGACTTCTAACTGAAAAATAGTTTCCTGCTGTACGTTTCAGATGTGTGTTAAATGACACACCAAAGAGACACTTGCTCCTCTAAACCTACCAGATGGTTTTATTGAAATAACACTTTGGAGGTCTTATATTTCACACAAAAGGGAATCCAAAAAAAATAAAAAATCGATCAACACAGACTACTGAAGCACAGCATTTTTCCCCCCCTTCTTTCTCCTCCATTACCGTCTGACCAGATGTAACTGGTGGCCCTTGGGAGACACCCAATCCCCAGGTTGGACACCACTGGACTGAACCACCTGATGTATCTAAAGTATTAAATCCATCTTGGCCTCCTACAAAGATAAAATCCGTTTCAGGGGACATTTTACTGCAGAATGAGCACTTTAACTTTTTGTGCTTTTAGTTAATTGTGCCAATAATGTCGCCCTTGTTTCTTGCAAAGCGCTGACATTGATACTCGTGTCTTTATTTAAATGAAGGATCTAAATACTTTTGCACTTGAGGGTCTCAAGGACCTCAAACTAAAGCAATGCGTCGTCTCTAAAATGATGTGAAGTACATTTTTAAAGCTTTCGAAGTGAGCAAAATGACTCCTGGGCTCCTAATAGAACAACAATGATAAAAACTGAAGCTCAGTTTAAATCTGCACATCGTTTAGGTTAGGATTGCCTTGATCTAGTCCGATTTTTACATTGGGATTTGTATGTTGGTTGAACACTTTCTTGGATGTGTCTGCCTCGGGTCACAACACACACACACCGCCAAGTAGCACAGGAAGCACAGGATGGCACAAGTGGAGCAACAACAAGAGGAAATTGTGTTTAAGGGCAAAGTTTAATGTATTTTTCTGATCTTATGATGTTCCTGTTTCAAATTTCCGCGATACCAAACAATCCCCACGGCACATAGGAAAGATTCCCGTTTCTGCTTTATCGTTCTGAAGGACTGCTCGGATGCAGAGATGCTCATTTCATGGTTTTGTGGGCAAACGCAAAGGAAGCTTTTGTACCTGAATCGGAGCCATTGTGCTCACATGTAGCAACGCTTTGCTGTTCATTCCAGCTCAGTGATTGGTATATTTGGACCGGCAAGATCAAACCAGATGTCAGAGGAAGGTTTGGTTGCTGTGAATTCTATTTTCCTGTCAGAAAGGTTCCGTCAGCACCTTCATGTCTGTGTTTGTTCCTTCCTTTTCAACACTCTTGCTCCAATCTGCATCATTGCTGAGATTTACAAACGGCACCTGAAGGAAACACGAGGAGGGAATATATATTATTGAAGCTCAGAAATCTGTAGGTGAACATCAGAAATCCATGAACACGCTTTTCTTTATGCGTTTTTGTTTTCCAGCCTCATTTTAAAATATGTGCCCGAGGACAGTGAACGCTTGAAAAGATTCATTGTGAGAAAAAGTCAGCGTCCTACATCGATTAGGAAATCATATCTACAGACGTGCCTGTGCTGAGAGCAGAGGCTTGTCTTGCTGTGAGCTTCACAGCAGCCAGCCATGACTCAGACTGTTCAGTTGAATTGACTTCAGAATGAGCTTAGGTTTTTTTGTTTCATTCTATGCTGTGCAGCTGAATTCGGTTTGTATATGAAAGAGCACTCAGCTGCCAAAACGCCGGCTTTAGAAAGTGGATGTTGTCCCTTCTGGCAGAGTCAGAATGATGAAATAAGAAAGGGTTTCTATGCATATTCAGTCCCACTCTTCTCTTCATCTGTGTTCTTTTACCTTTAGTGTCTCCCCCTCCCCGTCTTTTCTTTCATCACTCCATCGACCTTCGTACCAAACTTCATCATAAAAGCAACACAACCGTCAGCCACCTCCTGGTTTACTGCATTCCAGCTCTGCCCGTGAGAGAAAGGGAGACTGTTTGTAGTTCCAAGCCAAATACCGTCCAAATCTGACAAACACACAGTCAAGTTCAAGCCAAGTCAAATGAGGATTTCTGAATGAAACCTCTATAAACAGGAGATTTAGCGATTATCCTGGAGCTGGTGAGAAACACAGTGACGCCAGTCAGCAGATATTTGAGTGAGACGATGCAACGCTTAACAAAGAACAATCGTCCTCTTATAAATGCAAAGTTTAATTTCTAAAAAATAAATTGCACTGTTGCTCAGTTTATTAGACTCAGGCTCATGTGGTCCAGTGTGAGCAGTAGGTTGTAGTGGTGAACCCTGCCTACTGTTCACTAATGTGAGTCAACGTTGGATCAATATTGTACATGGATTTATTAAGAGAGCTGCATACAGTGCTGCCATGTCGTTCCTTTAGCTCAATATCTATTTCCTAGATCATCTGATCAGCGAAAGCACTCAACCACTGGTGAAGCGAATAGCATTGATCTTCTTGCTACAATGCAATATTGTTCTGTGCATCCTGTTGATCACCACGACCTCCAGCACACAGCTTGAGGAACATGATGAAGAGCTCAAGGCTGTGATTAGACCCCCAAAAACACCCCCATCCATTAAACATCCACATGATATGAAGGAACAAGACCCACATTGACACTCACAGGACCCAAAGGATCCGGTGCGAACATCCCAATGAAACAAATAAAACAAGCATTAATGGCATTTTATTGCGTGGACGATTTATATGTGTGAATCTCTTAGCAGAGTCTAAGAAAGAACATTTTTTATGTGGCACGTCGTTCTCATATAAAGTCTGTTTCTGCACTGCTGGAACACGCAGGCAGAGCCAGCTGGGGAACGCTGACATGCGTGTGCAGTTGGCCGCACACCATGAAAACAAACCCGGAAGCTAGAAAAGTTTTTTGGCTCATGAGCTTCCTGAGAAATTTCCATTCAACGAGGGGATGGTTTAGCTGAAGCTTAACCCTTCTGAGGTATTTTTAAAAATATACAAAAATACTCTTGCTTGAAAAATATTGCCTGGTATCGTTTGTCAATGAAAAAAGTTTAATTAACTATAAATGGAATTCAAAAATAAGGTTTTAAAATGACATCTATCCCTCCTTCCTGAATCTTTGGATATGTAAATATTTTTTCCGATCAAAGCTTTAACAGCTGCATACAAGACGCTTCCTTCTGAGAGATCAGGGGGATGATATGTAAAATGCGGCCTTCAAGTTTCCACATCACACCTGTGTCAAGTTTCAAGTTTTTCTCTCAAACTGTGGTGTCACATTATAAAGTTAAATTTCAGGTGATCAAAGAGAAACTTTCCACTTTCCACAAATTAATTAAAACACAGTGTGGCAATATGTAACATGCACCAAAAACCCATTGTGAATAAAAGGGGCCTTAAATATGGAAAAATATACATGTGATCAGATTGAAATATGTTTAAATTCATGCTGTATTTGATTAATTTTGCAACACCTGAGGGAGGCACTTCTACATTCATGACACTCCATCCTCACAGCACTTACTGTCCTTGATGCAGGCAGCTGGGCAAAGTGATTGATGTCTGAAACAAGATATTAGGTATTTAACTGTTGGTCACTGACTTAATGTTGAAATTAATTTCAATTAGCTAATGCTGCTGCCCAGATTTCCTCTCAGGTACTTCAGTGAAGCACGGAGGGGGAAAACAACTGCTGTCAAAAATGATTCCTGCAACATGCATAAAAATCCAGAGAGACTTTTTAATTTCAGAAAATCCCCTCAGAAAATTGAAAACACATGTTTACTGCAGCTACCTTCCGTGGATACTACAAATTGCAATGTTTTTTTCTTTTCTTTTTTCTAAATCCTGCATATTTCCACAGAATTAACCTGAATGCCAATCTGCATTCAGATAAGCTGGAGCTCAGTTTCCCCCCCTCACTCTCACTGCTGGAAAAGTACCTGAGACACACATGAAAATTCATTTTAGTGCAGAAAAGCTCCCAGTTGCAGCCTCATTTCTGTAGGCAGGGAGGTAAAAGACATTCCAGCGCCACGGGCCAGTTTCCACTTGGAAAGTCTGGGTTGCCTCCCACTCTTCCCTCTGGTTGTGAAGCAGTTTAAACACAGTTGTTGCCTTTAAGGAGCTCTGGAAAGACTCTGAGTGGGTACAAGATGGCATCCCAGCAGCTCTTTTTGAAGTTAATGGGGCTGACTGTACTGCTGATACTATTAGCTCTTAGCGGTAAGCACAGTCTTCTTTTTTTCTTTGGATTTTTTTCCCCCTCTGCTTTAATTTTGCCTTTGTTTTACAACCTTTTACTTCACAGTCTGTCACCATCTGATTTTGCATTTATCTCTTGCTTCTTGAGCTCGTTTATCTTCTAATGGCACTAGTTGTTCAAATGATGAATTACTGCATGCAAGAATGTGTGAGATATCTTGCAGAGAATGTTTGAGTCCTGAAAAAATGTTTCAAGACAATGACTTTTTGTCACTATCTTCTCTCTCTGTGTCACAGACAGAGCTTAACTAAACTAGATAAGGAACACATACAGAGAAAATGTGGACGTATCAGACTTAAAAGGCCATTTAGCACATATTTTAAAGTGTTTTACCAGCCTTTAGTGGAGCCGTTGTATTCTATTCATTCTAGTGTTCAAGGAAATTCAGCAACTTTAAACTGACTTAGTTGAAAAATCCATCCCAGTGAGGTCATGCCTGCCTCTGTTATTGGTAGAGTTACACTATTATTCACCATCAGGTAAACAATGTGCAAAATATGCCTCACAAACGCCTTATATTCAAACAAAAAGGAAAAAAAAAAGAAGCAAAATTATATTGAGATGGTTAAAAAATAAAGTTATGGGCATCATCAGATAATTAGTAATTCATTTGTAATAAAAAAAAAAAAAAGCAAAAAAGCATGTCAGAGGAAAAACACATAAAACAGAAAAAAATATTTCAGGTGTTCAAAAGCACTTAAATGTGGTACCTTGTAGGTTTTTGTTTTTTCGCAGTGCCTTTATTGAATTTATTGAATTTCCCTTCTGGGATAAATAAAGTATTTTTCATTTTCTTTATTTTGTTAAGAAACCAAGCAGGAGCATTTTTCGAATTCAAATTTTTCATTTGGAAAGAACAGACCGTGTGATTTTGTTTTTCATTTTTGATTGAAAAATAAAATCACTTCTCTAGTGGTGTGCCACAGGGCTCTATTCTGGGGCCAATATTGTTTTTTTTAATAAGGTAAAGCTACAACTTGGCAGTGTGAATGCTGTTTCATAGTTATGCAGATGACACCTTCCTGTATTTCTTTGTGTCCTTCAAATGCACAGGACAAGAAATTACTGCCAAGAACAATCACTCACAAATTAAACAGCTTTCTACCGTGTCTCATCCTTTGACTTATTCCAAAATCCTGAAGACATCATGACATCTTCAGAAGATAAGTGTTTAAATGTCCACAGCCTGCATACGGGCAGCTAAATGCAAACATTAGCATGCTCATATGTTGACAAGTTTAGAAACTGTAATACTTAACATGTTTAACGTATTAGTTTAGCTTGATAATATTGGTTAAACAGGACACTGCGTACCTAACTTAACAGAGGCAAACTTGATCACAGCCTGGTATTGATATTGTCTCAGGTAGACGATGGAAAAGTGGGTTTTCTGAAGGTTTGTGAAGATGGAGTTATCTGTTTTTGCAAATGAACTCTTCATATATAATTTCATTTCTAGTACCGGAAATTATGTCACATCCCCCTTAGTGGGCGGGAGCCCCAGGGTGAGAAGTACTGCATTAAAAGCTGATTAATTCCCTATTGCAGACACCGTAAAGCTCCCTCATCTCTAATGATAGTGGTGGGGAACAATAATAAACGCCCCATGCAAAGTCTGTGGAGAGAATGACTCATACAGTACATGTTGTTGAGCAGGCTGCTAAAGTAAGGAGAGAAGTTCTGCAGAAATTGGCTGTTCATAGCTCATTCATTTGCACCAAAAGCCGGAGATAAACACATGCAAGCAATTTTCTCCAACTGTATCCTTGCATCTCTAACCACTCGGTGAAAATGCTTTGTACTTAGGCTGTCTACTGTAAGACATGGCCTGGATTTCTGTGCATATTCTGACGTAGACTGCTTTCTAAAGAACATCTGGCTCAGTCTTGAATTTTCACTCAACACACATACACAAAAGCAGATGGCATAAACCCCCTAAGACTAATGGAGACGTAGCCCAGATGTATAGGACATAAGTATCCTGAGAGAACATTGCTCTGAGTCATTTACACTTTTGAGTATAAAAGGTCATCTGATTAGACAGTTTGGTGCAGTGATGTGCACAATATCCCATTAGTGCACTTTATACATGAGCTTTCCTCACACAGTGTAACACTAATGCTGCGATGTGAGCGCAGAGCTGGAGGAAGGACGTCACTGTCGCAAATATATTTACATGTAGGTTGGTGGGAGGTCAGTTTTCCTGAAGTTGCCAACTTCTCCTGTAACTACTCGTGATGCTCCACTTGGACATTTGCATCTGAAATGAAAAGTGAGAACAAACCCATCCATGAAACCGTTTTAGCAAACTCCAAAAATTGAAAGTGAAGCGTGTAAAGCTGCTAAAGGCAATCAGAGCATTTGCATCAGTGTAAGCAGCATAATCAGGAAAATAATAAAATGCCTTTTTGATGCAGCTGAGAGGCTTCATGAACCATTTTCATAGAAGTAGCATTAAAAGTTGCCTACAAGTGTGAAGTTGGTTGAAAAGATTTGCTTTTAAAATACAATGTCTACTGCATGCTTAATAGGTGAAAACCTGCTGACCATGAACACTGTGTGCAGCTGTTGTAGAAATTATTATCATCTGATTTAGTTGTGGGGGCTACAAGGTGGAGTGGTGGTTAGCACTGTTGCCTCACAGCAAGAAGGTCGCCGGTTTGTGTCCTAGTGAGGACATCCGGGATCTTTCTGCGTGGAGTTTGCATGTTCTTCCCGTGCAGCGTGGGTTCTCTCCGGGTTCTCTCACAAGGTCCAAAAACATGTTGAGGTTAACTAGTGGTCCTCAATTGTCCATAGGTGTGAATGTAAGTGTGCTTGGTTGTCTGTCTCTAAGTGTAGCCCTGTAGTAGACTGGCGACTATAGACTGGGATAGACTCCAGCCCCCCACGGCCCCAGTGAGGACTAAGCGGTGTACAGATAATGGATGGATGAATGATTTAGTTGTATTTTAGAATTTATCAAGACCCACCTGTCAGGATGAGTGTTGTTTGCACTGCAGCTCATTTTGCCTCCACTGTGTCTCCTCCACAGATGCATCCAGTGACAGAAGCTTACTCAAGATCTTAAGGAAAAGAGACGGTAACATCTTTAATAACAGTATTGTCATGCCGCTGACAGGAAAATCAACTCCATTAGTTCTTTGTTTTCTTTTAAAGAAACTACCCCTTCATTGTTTCCCTCATTGTGCTTCCATCCAGTGGCAGGAGCTGGTACTGCCCCATCAAAGTCCTCCATCGCGGTCCCTTCTTCCAAGGCTCAGGAGTTCCTGGCAAAGCTGAGCAGAACCAAGAGGAACGTCTGGGATCGCAGCAGACCAGACGTGCAGCAGTGGATTATGCAGTTTATGTACATGGGGTTTGACGAGCAGGTGAGTTACGCCTGCTTCTGGAGATTTCATGGTTTTCTCTGAACGCTGCAACTCTTTCGTTTTAGAAAAAAGAACAAGAAGAGACAACAGTAGCCAGTGAAGCAGCCAACATGACAGGGCTTCTTATACACAGCACACAGATCTACACTGAGAAATCACTCTTATGTTATTTCTCAAAAGTTAAAAGACACAAAATACAGAAACACAAAGTCTCCTATCAGTAGTAGTTTTGCTTCTTCCTGCTTTCAAGGATCAAGTAATTTCCGCAAAGCTGATCAGAAGCGAGAGGAACATTTGAGATCACAGCGGACCAGATGTACAGCACATGCTGCTGGGCCACTATCAGTTACATCTGATCAAAGCACCTCACACAGTCCTGATGAAACACAATCGTGAGGTTAAAACTGATTGCTGCTTATTTAGTGGCAAACACATACAAAAAAACCAACAAAAAAACAATAAACTGGAGTCAACAAAGCCCCACGCAGAAAAAATAACAAGCAGCACAGAATGGAAACAAAAAAATCTTTATATATTTGAAGTAAAATGGGAAAAAAAATGTGGAGTGAAGCAGTTTGGTCTGATGTCCGAAAAGATGCTCTTCAAAAGCAACACTTCTCCTCCAAATGTTACCAGACTGAATGAATAAATACAGTTTGTGGAAATGAACATATGAACTAAACTTTCCTCCCTCATGAACAAATAAACACCCACCAGCAGAAGCATGTTCAGTTTTCTTTCAGGTCAGCGAGTGTAGAACTCCTTAGGGCCAGTGAGGAGCAGATAATGAGAGCAGGAACAGGGGAGACGAGCACAAAATAACGCCCCGCTGCCTCCGTTTTTGACAACTGGCGGCAAGTGTTTCAGTCAACTACAGCAGTATTCCTCCAGCAGCCCCGTGCATGACACCTTGTGCATGTACAATTTGCTTTTGCTTCCTTCAAAGGCCAAAGCTGTCAAAGGATTGGCCTTTTCAGTGTTTGTCTTTTGTGCGTGCCTAATTGCCACAGCTGAGCCTTCCGACGGTGCCAGCTGACAGCTTATCTGTTGTATATGTCTATTAGCTTGGGATTTGTTTTGAGGTTCCTTACATGTCATGTCTGTGGTGTTTTTTTTTTTTTTATTGTTTTTTTCCTCACCAGAGGCTGGAGACTGACCTGTCGTACTGGATGGACCACGCACGCTCCAGTGATCAAGGACGTCAGCACCACTATGATGAAAACTCCCCCATCGGCCCGCGGGACCCTTCTTCTTACAGACACGGAGCGAATGTCAACTACGACTACTATTAACTCCACTCACACACGTGTTCATTTTGGTTTCCATCATTTTCAGAGGACGTCACGTTGAGTTATATCGATTTTTTCTGGTGCTTACCCTCACCTTAACCCCCAACTTTAATCTCACTGTAACCTTAAACCAAGACTTTATACTCAGAATTTAATCATTTTTGCTCTGGGGACCTACTTTTTGTTACAAAGGAGGAGTCTGGTGGCCACAGTTTGAGTGTGTAAACAGATTTAAGTACATTAAATACACACACATACCTGCTTCTGTGTCTGAGTTAGTCCCCTGATTTCTCTCTGATTTTTCTTGTCTTGATTGGTTACACCCACAAATGTAACCCCGTCCAACTCGTTTACTTACACACTAGTTAGAAAAATGAACATAAAACAGTGTGTTTTTGCTCTTGTTAAACATCAACATAATGCTTTGAGGCAGCTGATTGTCGTTGGTTGTGAATAAAGATGCGGCTCCGTCCTCCCTCCGTCTCCCGCCTTTTTTTAATCCCACCAAACAATCGTACAAGAAGCATCTTCTTAACCATCGATGTCATACACAAAATATTGGAAATATTTTTATTAAAATAGCATCTTCACCTCAAATTGATAATGCACATCTTGATAATGAGATTTCACAAACACGATGACGTCTTGAAAAACACACAATGATGTTGTAACAGTCTTGCTCGAGGATCTGTCCAGTCCTGCAGTGCGCTGCATGAACATCCAACAGGGTGCCAGCACGCCACTGGTGAGAGGACAAAGCGTCCAGTGGGAAAACAAACTCAGGTAGCTCGTTTCCAGAGACGAAACACAGTGAAACCGACAAAAACAAAGCACGGGTGCACAGTGTGAGATGTTTGTATAGGATTCTCAAGACGGCGATTTTAAATAGCAAAAGCACAAATTCACAAAAAGGTCGGCTGGGTTTCAGATTTCTTGCTTCTTTGATTCAGGCTTGTCCATCACCCACATGAGTTCTGACAAGGAACCCCTCACCCCCAATGCAGCGGCAGCTCCAACACAAGACAGCACTATCTTTATAAAGAGAGTTTTAAGAGAGAGAAAATTGAGAAAATTGAGTTGCTCTTTAAGGAGTCTTTAATCTTTGTGTTTGCGAACGAGGGTCTGATGGAGAACGCCGGCCTCAGTTGTGTCTGGGTCGTCCTTTCTTCATGCGGGCAGCTTTAGGTTTGGGGATGTACTGGTTGTTGGCCTGGTGCTCCAGTTCTCTGCTGAAGTACTGAATAGTTTTGTTCAAGCCTTCCTCCAGAGGCACCTGTTGACATAAGTTAGAACACATCCAATGTTCAGATCATACCGCTCTCATGAATACATTAAAAACAGCAAGACTGATAATGAATAAGCAAAATACTGGCTGTAAATATCATCTATGAATTCGTCCGAGGCTAATGGTGAGATGATGAAAGTCACTCTCCAAACACACGATATGCAGTTTGTCATTATTTGTACATTTATAAAGCAATAACGGATTCTAGTTTCCACTGCTATTCAACAAATGTGGCGCCTTAAAAGAGCTAGAATTATGATGAAATATACATTATGTGTTCACAGAGAATCTCATTTTACATGAATATATCTTAAATATTAAATACATTTACAAAAATCTCAGACATTAGCCAAGCTGTGTGATAATTCATCAACGGTTATTTCTCCATATAGTCATATTGTGACAGAATCTTCAAGTCCAATTGAGACTTTTTACACTAACAAGTTAATGTTTTTTAATGGCCCAGGCAGTGACTATCCTCCAAAAACCAAATCTGATTCTGAACTGATAAATATCAATATCAAAAATGCATATATACAGGTGAAACCAGAAGTTTAAATACACTGTAGAAAAAGACAAAAAACTTTTTTTTTTTCACTGTCTGACATTAAATCAGACAAAACTGTTCCTGTTTCAGGTCAGCTAGGATTAACAAAATTATTTTTTATTTTTTTGCTAAATAATAAGAGATTTATTTATTATTATTATTATTATTATTATTATTATTTATTTATTTATTTTAGAGAATTGGATAACGACTCTAAGCATGCCGCCAAACTAGTTACAAAGAGGCTTAAGAACAACAAAGTCAATGTTTTGGAGTGGCCATCACAAAGCCCTGATCTCAGTCAAACCTGACTTAGTTCCACCAGTTCTGTCAGGAGGAATGGAACAGAACTCTATCAAACTATTGAGAGAAACTTGTGGAAGGAAACCCAAAACATTTGACCCAAGTCATACGGTTTAAAGGCAACACTACCACATACTGTAAATTCATGTAAAATTCTGACTTTGAAGGAAATAATAAAAAACAAATTCTCAAAAAAAAAAAAACCCTTTGTCTCATTATTCTGGCATTCAGCAAATAGAAATAATTTTGATAATCCTAACTGACCTAAAACTGGAAAGTCTGATTTAATGTCAGCTAGTGGGAGGACAAAAACAAAAAAGGTTATGTGTCTTTTTATACAGTGTAAGTAAACTCCTGGTTTCAACTGTACGTACATCTAGTTTCTATAATTTAGTTTTTGTCAAAAAAAAAAAAAAAAAAAATCATCTTCCTGTATGAAATGAATTTAATGTTGTTGAACACGACTTGGAGGTCAACCAAACACATACTGATAACAAGAGAATGTAGCAATAATGATTTCAACATTGATCTTGTTCATTGACTTCTGTATAAAAATATCAGCGTGACCTTGTAAGATAAGACCTGCAAAACATCTTCGTCACTGAGAATCTTCGGTGCAGCAATATTCATTAGAAGGGGGCAGAAGTTACGTTTCACGGTCTACATTCGCCCACTAAAAGCCTCAGAGTCCTAAAAATCTGAGCTACTAAACATAGGGCATATTTAGAATGCAAGACAACACATGAACGTTTCAGAACCATTTAGCCGATTGCGTCACACGTACCACTGGCTCCCAGCCGAGCATCATCTTGGCTTTTCGGATGTCAGGTCTTCTCCTCTGCGGGTCGTCCTGAGCCTCAGGAAGGAACTGGATCTGGCTTCGGCTCACTGTGTGTGTGAGCATGGGAGTGTGTTGGGGGGACAGACACAAGCACACAAAGAAAAGGAGATGTTATTATGATTCAACTGACTCTCACTTTGTTGTGGTGGCTTTGTGTGTAAGGTCAGCAGCTGTGCCAGATGAGGATCACAAATGCGGTTGGGGTTTCTGATACCAACGGAAGTTTTGTTCAGAGAAAATGACACACAGCAAATTAGCTCCTAAATCTTTCCTACACAAACTTCTATTCGTGATGTCGCAAAGTCATGTTCAGGATCTACTTTGTCATCTGCGCTCTCTTTTAAATATGTCTTTGGAATCTTCAGGAGATCCTTTCCAGCCATGTTTAAAGATGTATAAAAATATGACTAACAATTGTTCTGATGTGATTTTTCTGTATGAAAGTTCAATAAGCAGGTTAGAATTCTGAAAATAACATTGTCATCTTTTCCTTCATTTAAAAAAAATAATAATCCAGAAATTCTGAATATGCAAATATTTTTCATTTCAAAAGTTTAATTTTTGGACACAAGATTCTTTCAAATTCACTAAAGGTTGATTCCTAGTGGAATCAAGTGTTGATACCACACAAAGCTGCCAATTGGACCAGGACTGGCTTCTTGACTAGCTGTGATAGCGCAAAACTTGCTCAAAAGGTACACAACGTCAAAAGCAACATTTCAGGTTAGCTCAGAGAAACCTTGTAGTTTTAGCAGATGCATTTGAAAATATTTCTCGAACAAAACTGATTTTTGAGTGGACAGACTCACAGAAAGAAAGGGTACCACATAAACAATCAGTAAGACATATAAATGAGAAAGAGACATTAATAAGCCATTCAGACCGAGACAGTGACGGAGGTTAAACCCTTTAATGACTCTCCTCTTGACCACAGTTAGATGCTATCCAGATGACCTGGTATTGCCATCATGAATGGAAATGTTGTGTATTCAATGATATTGACGTTTAAATGTTTAATGTAAGAAGAGGAAAAAGGGAGCGACGGACAGGGAGACAGGAGAGATATACAGAGCATGAACAAATGCATATTTCCAACATGCATGATTCACTAGTTCTGCACTGCAGACCAGTCTGTGAACAATGAGATGCAGGGTGAAAGCTGTCTCATTAATAGGACAAACACAGGCTAAATGTGCATTGAAATGTCTCAGATAAGCAGGCAAACAAGTCAAGCTTGACTAAACGGGGATGGAAACAGTGGGGGTAATGAGTTCGCAGTGACACAGAGTATTGCCTTACCAACGAGACTTTTGATGAGACGTGCAAACTCCAGGATGGTGTGTTCTTCTGGGTTCCCCTGCAAACAGGTTTCATAAATATCCATTACACAAAAAAATGACTCACCAGTAAAGTGTCTGCCTGTACATAATTAATTTTCCATTCCAGCTTGAGACACAGTCAGGTATGATGAACTCACCAGATTGACTGGACTGCTGATGTTGCTGTTCATCAATAACACCAGACCATTCACCAGATCACTGCAAAACAAATGACATAGAACTGTAGTTTTGATTTGTATGAAGTACATATTTCTCAGCTGGAACTTACCCACAACCATTTTTTTAAAGATATTTTTTGGCCTTTTTTGGGTTAGGAGAGAGAGAGAGAGAGAGCGAGAGAGAGAGAGAGGAAAGCAGGGGGAAAAGAATGGAGGAAGGACCTGCAGCAAAGGGTCATGAGCAGGACTCGAACCCGAGACCACTGCGTCGGGGTCTATAGCCCTGTACACAGGACGGCAGCTCAACCAGGTGAGCTATAGGGCCTATGGTGGCGCCCCACCCACAACTATTTTAGCACAACAATGCAGTGGAACAAACTTCCAAGGTCAGAAAATATACGCCAGCATCAACAAAATGCTTTATTTCTCATTTTCTTTTCTTTTTGTCATACACAACAACTACACACAGTCAACCTGCACTTACAATACATGACACTTGAAGCAATAAAGACAGAATGTACAAAGTATATTTTCAAACAACAGGACAGAGCCAGGCAAACCGTACAAGACTGCTATTGTTTGACACTTTGAGAGACTGGACTTAAAGAAGACACAGCGTAGCTTTGAGGTAAATACGTCCGTTAAATCAAAGCTGACGTACTTATGCTTATAGTTGCAGGAAACAAGTTTATCCTGTTCATCATCTTAGTAATCTCACCATCTTAACACGCTAAACATTTCGTACCAAATCGATTGGTATAATTTTCACAAGTGTGTTTTTAGGCCTTCATGTCCACTAAATCATCCAGAAATGACTAATGACACGTACTGTGCAGTATATACAAAGAACCTAGCTGCCCAAACAGATGGACTAAATATTCTATCCCTATATTTGTCCCACATACATACACATGATTAACTGTAATCTCTGACCCTGCTCTGTGTCCACATCAGCGAGCTCCTTCCGCCAAATGTCAAATCTGCATTCATGCATATATACATGACATACTGAGACATGTATTTTTGCATTTGAATCAATTAGGAGAGACCAACATATCAGAAACATCAATGCAACACAACTCAACACCAGCACAAAGGGAAGCTTCCAAAATGAAGACAAACTTGAATCGATACCCTTCTGAAACCGTTTTTTTTAAACCAAAAACCTCCACAACCTGCAAACTTTGTTCCACAGTGCTGTTTAAAAACTGCAGGTCCAGGTTCTACCGTGTCCCTAACCTGGATAACAACTCAAAAATGGCTATACGGCACACTCACTGAGCACTTTTATTATTACATCAGTCAGTCATGTAGCTGCAGCGCACACAATAATGCAGGTTCAGTGACTGAGAGTGGCATGCTTGTTGGTGATAGACAGGCTGTTTCTGAAACTGCTGACCAACTGGGATTTTCACCACAACAGTCTCTAGAGTTTACTCAGAGTGGTGCAGAAAACATAAAACATCCAGTGAGTGGCGATTCTGTGGATAGAAACCACCTTGTCGATGAGAAAGGTCAGACTCGTTGGAGCTGACAGAGAGACTCAAACTCAGATAACTGCTTTTCTTTTACAAGTGTGGTGAGCAGAGAAGCATCTGAGAATGCACAACATTATGTGTTGCAATCATGTCAACACGGAATGTCGACAGAATTTAATATCAGTGTTTCTACATCTTGTCAAAACCATGCCACAAAGAATTTAGGGTGTAAAAAGAGGCCCAGCCAAGTAATAAAAAGGCTTTCTTAATGAAGTGGTTGGTGAGTGCTTAGCATTGTGATAATAACAGGCTCACTAACAGGTGGTGAGCCTGTTATGCAAATGAGAGCAGGTGTAAACATGCAATCAGTGCAAATAAACCTCAAACAGAGGTCCTAATTCTTGACAAAGTATGAATCATACCTCAGTAGTCAATGTAACTGATGATTCATGACTCACACACAGCATTTATTGTGACTTTGCCAAAACCCAAAAGCTACCAGTGCCGTTGAAAGGCATGTTATCTATCACCAGCATCACACCGTTTATCACAACCAGGCTGTAACAACAGAAAGAACTACCGGATGTTCAGGTTTTAAGTGATCATCCGTGACATGCACTCTGTCAACTAAACATTAAAATATTTCATCTAAAGTCACTCCCATGTCTCATTAAAAACCTTGCCACAAATAAGCTGTTTACTTCAGATTCTGTTTAAAAAAAATAAAAAACTCAAAAATTCAAGGACTGCTTGGCTGATCTGTGGGCTGTGTTTTCACAAGAGCAGAAAGGAGACAAGTATAAAAACACGATCCAGAATGTAAGTAGTAAAATATTTATAGTATGTCCCGTTAGCATTTTTACAGTGTTGGTAACACCTGTGAGCACATGGAAAACTGTTGAACAAAATGTGACAGGAGCAGAAACCGCTTGGAGGACAGGCGGTTATATAACTAGAGGCTTTCTTGTGATGACACCAGCCATCAACATGTTCATATTCCAACCCATGAGTCGTCAGTGATCATTAGGCTTGGCCACAATCTATTTTTTCATCCCATCATACCTTTCTGACAGCACGTTATGTGACAGCCTGTTGATCGAAGTGACTGTATGACGATGACACTTGCTGCTGCAGCAGCAGATGCTGACACATCGGTGGACTGAACAGACATGACGTGTGAGTGGTGGTCGCAGACTGGCAGGTAAATACGGTCTTATGGCTAATAACCTGATTTTATAATTGGAAGCAGTCATCTCAGTCTGGAGTTATACATGGTAGCTTCCCACATATAACTTTATGGAGGTAATTGTCAACCTCGGTGGCTTTGGGTAAGCTTCGCAGAAAGTAGCACGGGTTTGAATAGGTCAGGTCAAAAACTGGCTAACCAGCATTCCAACTAAGTTATAAATAACTCAGGAAATCGGATGAGCTCGGTTTCATTCATGGTATTTACCTTGAGAAATGAGCAGCAGCTTTCCCAACATTATTTGACACCATAATAAGAGATATAATAATGATATATACATCAGGGTAAAAACACTGTCACCGCATACAGATTCTTTTTTTTTTTTTTTTAAAGACTTTTTTTTCTGGCCTTTTTGCCTTTATTAGTGAGACAGTGAGACAGGAAAGGGGGGAGAGAGCTGCAGCAAAGGGGACTCGAACCCACGACCGCTGCATTGGGAAACTATAACCCCTGTTCATGGGCCGCCCTGCTCAACTACGTGAGCTATAGGGGCGCCCACATCACATATAGATTTTATATTAACAGGGAGATACTACAGTGTGACCTCCACAGAGAAACCTGAGGTCACTGTAAACACTACAACATATAAATCTACAACATGCATGTGCTTCACTTCTCAAGAGATGAATGACTTTACAGAAGCAGCTGTTGTAGCAGAATAAGCAGCTTGCAGCAGAGTATTTTTAAACCACTTCTCCACCTACTATTGAGACAATCTTTCCACTCGTTTCCTTTCTTTAGTATTTAATTGGGGGGAAATAGAAGCAAGAGAAAACTGGAAATTGTCCAACCTGGCATAAATGAAAAGAAAGCATCAGCTTCTATTTAGAGTGAAGATGAAAGAGCATAAGAGTATATATATTTTTGGCCATCATCGTCCTCTGACCTCAACTCTATTGAGAACCTGTGAAACATCCTTTTCTGAGAGTTCTACTTAAAAAAAGAGTTTTACCCAAAGACTATTCACAGAACAGGAAAGTCATACAGGGCAGCAGCTAAGTGCTTTGATGAGATAGGAAAGCTCTGTGTCTCTGATCTCCTCAAACAGATGAAATAACTTTCGTTATCAGCCACACACAAACCGATAAATACTCTTTTAACCTGCACAGTGCTCATATTTATCAAATTAAAGCAATGCTTCTTTGCCTTACACCAAAGTTCATGTAAAAAAATCTACCTCAGAACATATCTTTGATAAACTTTAAATGCCACACACGCAAAAAATAAAAAATCACAGTTTTACTTTGGTGTTAGAAAAGAAAAGCCTCTAATTTAATCTATTAAAAAGCAACAACTCTACACATCCATTGTAATGCCATGGTCATCAGGTATTTATTATATGTACCGTATTTCATTATTAATTATGTTCTAACTGCATTGTTATATTGCTTCCTAATTGGTGGTAGATAAGAGTTTAAGATTTAATGCAACTAAAATGTACACAGTGGAGCACAAAGACAAAATGTGGATAAAATAAAAATACACTGAATTGAGTAACTTACCTTACATACTGAAAGGCTCGCGTTTGAGAACCGGTACCATACACCTAGAAGAACAAGAGGAAATGGGTTTCCTTTCTCCATGATAAACACACTGGCACTGCAAAATGTCACAATCAATATGATGCTGTGTTACCAAACAATACGTTTCTACTTCATGACAACCTGATGGCCAAGTGGGTAGGGCACACCCCAAATAGGCAAAAATGTCCCCAGCAGCTTCGACACCAGCTCAACATAAATGCCAGAAAACAAGCCTGTTGTTTTTAATCAACTGCTAAAACATAAACCGTATTCAACCTACATCTAGACAAACACTTCTACCTTTCAGCTAAAACTGTGTACAGCTACAGAATAGAAACAGGATTGTTCGTACGCTTTCATAATATTTAAGATGCAGTGCAACAGCAGCAGTCCTCATGAATCATCATCTCACCGAGGTTAACCCTGTGTATACATGCTCATAATGCTAACACTGAAAATGAAAGGCCTAATGTGTGCAGTCATTTGTCTTGAGGGTGGAAAAAAGAAAAACAAAAGGTGAAAGGAGACGACAAGTAAGAAGCTTAAAATGCATACAGTGAGGGGTTCTCCTTGTAGAGCCTGAAGGATGAAGTTACTGACGACACGTCCATCGTTCATGTGCATCCGGGAGCCAAACGTGTTGAAGATCCTCGCCACCCTCACCTCTACTCCTTCCTGCAAACACAACAGAGAGTGGGTGAGCCATTAAAAATACAGCAACTGTGTGGTGTTTCAGTACTGCTTTGAACTATACAGCTGTTTTATTTTGAAGTCTGTAAAACCTGTAGAACCTGGACAAATGAATCCTTCACCATATGATTTTTTTTTTCATAGCCAGGCAGGGATAGGGTTAAAACTGAAAGTGATGCTGAAAGAACATTTGTAACTTGTGCCCTTCAACTAACATGAAAGCCCCAAATGAATAAGCTGTTTGCACATAAATGTCAGGTAGTAGAGGTAATAAATCAAATCTGGACAACACCAATACACTGGCTGATGTAAACGGAGAAATCAGCTGATGCCTGTAGTGTCCCAAAACATAACCCTTTGCAAATGAGTATTAGATATAAGGCAGCTTTGATGAAATTCCAGCAAAAACAGAGTAACATGACACGAGACTAAGCACCGATTTGTGATTGTTTTCTCTGTAACCTTTATGAGTTTACCTTCACTGTCGGCGTTTGAGTAACACGAGCAGCTGTCAGCAAAACACTACAAATGACTGAACAACATTCACACTGGACAGTAAAGTTTTCCTCAAAGAATTGAAAACTTGCTTCCCCCATATTCTGGCAACAAAACGAGCCATTTACTTTTTTCCTTTCCTGGCAAAAACACTCAACTACTGTACTTTTTGCACCATTTACTGCACAAGCGACATGCAGTGTATTTTCTAACAGCTCTTCATAACATCAGACACACTGGTTTGATGTTCTCCCAAATCTAAATGTGCATTTCTCAAAGAAATTACACTCTGCAACAAATGTGACCTTTGATTTGTGGGGTACCATTTATTATTTACCTCTATCATTACGTAGCAAAAACAAGTTTACATAGTGTCCCATCTAAGTAGGTACAGAAGAGTCACGTGCTGCCTCAGCTAGAATCCATTTCCGGCATAGACCTTTAAATGTTGAAGGTATCTTCCATTCATCGGAAACAGAACTAACTTCATTACAGTATGTGATGAAGCATCAGGGACAATAAAAATAAATCATCCTTGTTCCCAGAATATTTTCCATTAGAATATTTTGACACACACACGCCCTCCTTTCCGCTTGTCAACAAAGAATAAATAAACAAGGCCAACTGTATGATAGGTACTTTTATTGATCCCTTTAAAAAATCCACAGCCTTCTCAAGTCAGCCTTATGCGTCACTGCAAAACTGCTTCAGATGCTATGTGGACCTATTTTAGAACATTAAACATGAATAAAAACATGAAAATTATGCAAATTGCTCTCTTGAAAATGTGGAACACGAAACTCGATGGATAAACCCCACAAATGCTATGGTGAGGAGCAAGGACACAATGAGGCCAACATGATGAAGAGGCCTTCGAAGGGTTGCATGTGTGCACCCCGAGTATGTAAATGATGGTCTGCACAGGTATAGTTATGCATATACTCAGATGGGTTGCTTTTCCTACGCCATTTAAACTCATCACGTACCTCTTTTAAATGCAAACACTGATATTTGAGAAGAATCAACCAAAGTCAGTATGTCAGCGACAACAGTACAAACTAATGAGCATTATAAGGTTTTGAAAGGCATGTTTTCCTTTTTGTTTTGCTCTAAATCATCATATTACGCTATTTATCATAAATCTGTAAAAAGAGGAAGAATCGTTGGACATTCAACTTTCCGACAGTCCTTGAACTAATCGTCTGTGACTTTTAGTTTCCTCTGGAAAAACATATCGATCCATAGCTAAACAAAAAATCTGGATGTTCATTCAAAATGACTTTATTCTACATGTCTCATTTAAAATAAATGCCACAAGTACGGAAACAATCTACAACACTAAGTAAAATTTCTAAGGTATGTAAAATAATATATATGTATAAAAAATATTGTTTTTGATGTACATGTTGATTGCACTTTTTTTTTTGAGAATTTTAGCTTGCATAGGTCTTCCTTTTATTATGATTTATGGCTATTAAAACTGTCTCATACTGCACAAAAGACATTTTTTGAGTTCTTGCTACTTCTAGCCATGGTTGTGCTGTTTTCATAGAGGTGCAGGAATTTATTGCTGTGAAAAATGAGTCCACAGTGAACAAAATGCGACAGCAGCAAAACATGCCCAGAAACTGTTTGAGTTTCAGAGGGTTATAACTAAGCATCAAAACTAGAGGATTAAGTCGGTGCAGACATCTGCAAAAGGCAAAAAACCCAGCAAACAGAATTAAAAAACGAGTCCTCTTCCAGCAGCACTTCTTTCTCCCTGCTCTGTTCTAAGTCCCTCCCCTCATACGAGCACATGAATGAAGATATAAGCCGATGTGTATTTGTGGTTTCACCCAGGATTCAAACCCCAGCCAAATTACTCAATCTACCTACCCCATTGCCACCACATCCTGCTGTCACAATTGCTGTTTATAAAACCTCATTTGATTGAGAGAAACCCTGTGATTGGTCGTAATCGTCCTTCATGGCCTAAATTTTCTATATCCTGAAATCAAATGATTGAAAGATTATTTTATTTATTTATTTGATCGGGGATCATACATTTAACATAGAAAACATCTGATGTATTCTTGTTTTTCTTTCAGCCAATACTTAACTTGTGCTGTAAAAGCTTTTTAATCTGCCAACATATTAATTTCGTTTGGTAATGTGTTCCAGATGTGACAGCCTTTGATTGAAAAGGCTGTCTGACCAAATGTAGTTCTGCGGTAAGATGTTTTGCAATTGTTGTTGGTGGAGCTTCTGGTGACCCTGCTGCCATCCTGTCTATGGATGAATCCACAGAGTGACTGTGGTGCTGATTTATTGAGCCATTTAAAGATTAACTTTAAGAAGCAAGGATCGATAAAGCTTTCAAAACTCAAAAAATGTTATTTTTTTAAGTTAGGCAGTGATGCCACCAAATTGTTTTTTATCCATAATTTTCAGAGCTTGAGTGCTTTATTGTAGTTGGGGCTGCATTAGCCCAAAATGTCAGACAGTATGAGATATGGGAGAAGATAGCGTGCATGTTCAGCTGGGCTGCCTGGTTAGGAATATAATTTCTGATTCAAGTGTACCGACCCAGGAGACTCTAATGAGTTCTGACAAATACCCTGACTCCCTAAACTCTGAGGCAACAAATCTACAAATTAACATAAACTCTGTAAGTACCATGGCAAAGAAAAAAATATAACACTACACATTGTACAGTTGATGTGGTTTTTAGACACTGATGGTGTGTGGTGAGTCTTTCTGGTGAAGTGTTCTTACTGATTGCATGAAGTCCTCCTGTAAGCTAGACCTGCTATTTAAATACGACACCAAATATATTCCATTAACACTTGCTCAATACATTTTCAGATTCTATCCACAGATTATGAACATTGATTATCCTGTCAATCAAAACTGACACGTATCTGTCTTCCACAGATTTCAACTTTAGTCTCGTTTAAAAATCATTTTATTGACTTTGAAAAGTTCAAGGCTAAAACTAAATCAATCCGATAAGACATTTAAACAGACGCGACCTGGGATGTGGATTTGATATGGCTTTTCATAACATGGTACGAAACCCAAATTTCCAAGTATAGAAGCACAGAACACGCTCTGTTCAGCTGTTGATGTACAGAAATCCACATGTGAAAAGAGATCCCTGTCCTTTGTTTGGTCCTGAATGCTAAATAAGTCCTAAAAATCCACTTATTTAAATCAGTCTCCTCTTGAATTATGTGGATGCTGTAATCAGGATCAGTGCTGTTTTGGATGACCTACACAATATTACGCAGGTGGTTGTAATGTTGTGGCTAATCAGTGTCTGTCAATTTGATTGATATAGCCCAATGTCACAAATTATAAATGTTGTGAACTTGAAGGCTTTTTTTAACAATGCAATCAACCCTCCCATCCAAACACGTGTGACACTTTAACAGAGACTTGAGACAAAACACAGTGTGTGTGCAGCCCTGGTGTTAAGCAACCCTGGTGTGTCTCATTATATGACAGCAAAAAAGCAACTCTACAGTACTTCAGAATGCAATCTGCATCTGCCAGCATCTATTACAGCATCAGTATTAATGTGATATAGTGTTATCTGGCTGTGTTGGCCTGGTGGTCTTCTTCATGTCAACTAAAACAACTCTCTTCTCTGTAATTTATGCCATGCACAACAAAATGCTTAATTAAATCTGAGGTGTTACAACAGCTTATTGTTCTTCCTCTCTGCCCGGCACATGTAACCACGACAGCCATTCACCAACATAAATAACAAAAACACTTATGAAACACGTCCACATAATGTTCCGTGCTGTGAATAGCTTTCTGTTCCCATTGGCTACGGCTCCTTCAGAGTGCAGTCAGAAAACCCAGAAAGTTTAATCAAATGGGCAGCGAAAATATAAAATGATAGAGCAGCAATAAAATGAGAACCAACATTGGAGTCAAAGCACTAAACCAGTATCAGTTTCTCTAAAATCCTGGTGATAATGATCACGGCGCAGAGCTTGATATATTTCTCTGTATGCGTATGTTGCACAAGGTCATGATCTGCTTCTGTTGGGAAAATTTTGTTTAAATGCTTTATATCATTTGTGCAATCAAAGATCCACTGATATATACACACACACACTTATACAGACACATTAAATATATACATACACGTCTTTTCTATCTTAGCAGCAGGTAAGTCATGCTTTTTCGTATATTACATAACCCACACTCATCACTTTTTAAATGTTAATGAATTTTGATTACATGACTGGGCAACAGATGTAACGTGTGATATTCTGGTTCATCTGCACAAACGACTGACAGCAGGATTTTTATAAGATGGCTATTTCCAAGAATTCTCCCAGTGAGAGTGAAAAAAAAATAATGAGCCACTGAGGAGGAGCAGGAGGCGAGGCAGATAAATAAATATCACCTGCCTGAGGGAAAGGCAAGAGAAGTCAATCATACAGATAATCAAAGGATGCTGTCGGTCAAGTCATTATCAAAAATTCTTAACGTTACTGAAAATGGCAAGAGCTTTTTTGAATTTTTCATGACAAAACTCTATACAAGATTCCCCCACATGCCTTTACTGACAGCAAACTATCCTCTCAAAAACAGTCATTTATTTTTAAATACTGCGAGAGACCTGGTGAAACTAAGGGTACATTAACTATAAAACATACTATTATGAACAAATAAAAAAAAATGTATGTAATTTTAATAACATACTTCTTGCCAGCTTCACCGTCACACTGAGACGCTGGTAGTAACTTAACGTTTTCTCATCTAGAAATTCTAGTTGTATCTATCTGAAATGACTATGTAGAGAGAGCTGCTACGTACGTTTTCATTATGACCACTAAAACCTGAAACTCTGCCACATCTTGAGGGACTTTAATATACAAGAAAGTAGATTTTTGCATCAAGAAATAAAAGATTAATATAGTTGTAGCGTGAAACTCCTGCATTACTTTTTGTATTTATGGAACAGCTGTTAAAATGTTCCAACAACTTTGTATTGACGACTAATGACCTCAAACCTGCTATTTTTTATTCAAATGTGTAGTGTTACAATGATGATACCTGTTTCATGTAGGCGTAACACATAGTCTCTGCTACACGCTTCCCCTCATCGTAGCATGCTCGAGGACCGATTGGGTTCACGTGCCCCCAGTACTCCTCATTTTGAGGGTGCACCTCTGGATCTGAAACAAAAAGTATTTCGGGAACATATTGGGAAGTCGTTAAATCTGTTCATGAAAAACATTCTTCACAGAGAATTAAAGACATTTTATTGGGAAAACAATGTTCTTTCCATTTTGTGCACTGCCACCAACAAACACTTTTAATACATTCTTGTCTTAAAAAAAATGCTGCTGCGTTTCAGCACACAGCAGATTGGATGAAACACCTCAACAGGTATAAAGGTCACTGGCCTGCAACATTATGTTCAGTGACATAGAGCTTCGCGTTAGTTCAGACAGGCACGGAGTCAGGGTGTCACATGGCCCCTCCTGTCCAATCATCATCGCTGAAGTCCAGCCCACCCACTTAGCTGCTTTGTAACTGAGGCAGCGTTCACTCATTCTGCCCGCTTCACGCTCACCACATTGCTGCTACTCCAGCCTCTGCAGATCGACAAATCTCCTCCTCCTCCCCAACCACCACCTTTTAAAACAGTTAAATCTCATATAACCCCGGTGTTTCCCATATCGTGGGACTGTAGGTTGCAGATGGTTCATTATTGTACCTTGAACTATGTAATCTAGATTCTGTAAGTGAAGACTATTTAGTTGGTCTCCTGTTCTCGTGTTCATACCGTATTTGAAGAATTGTAAATTGTAAATTCATGGCTCTGCGGGGGTTTGTGATCTCAGGGATTATCTGTGTCATGCTTGCGCAGATCGTTCCAGAGCATCACGAGCAGAGTCACCGCCAAACTAAATGTATGTGATCTCAAATAAATGGTTAAAATCTGACAAAGTGTCCTGTCTGAAATATTGTTCTGTCGTCCTTTGTCTACTGCTTGCAGCTACAAAGTTACATCTCTACAAATGTTACATCTGTACTCGAGCAGCAATCCCACCGATTAGTTGTCAGGGTAAAGCTCTCTTGTGACATTTCTGAATCTCTCTTCCATTTGCATGGCACATTTTAATCTCAGATCAGACATGACTAAAGACAGTGATTTTTGGCATTGAAAATATTGTCTTTTGAGCACTGTTATTGTGCTGATAAATTACGACTCTCCAACAAATCATTATTTTAACATCGAGCAGCTGTTTGTGTGTGATTAACGAGAAAAACAACAAAAAAAAGATCACAAAGAAATCATGATGAGGCAGAGAGTTGGCCTCCTAAAATAATTAAAAAGTGGAGTGTAAATAATGCTAAAATTGGTCATGTTTGTGGTAGTTCTGGCACATAATCAATAGTCAGTATTTTCAAAAATCCAAAATTTGAAGAAAGCTGCAGCTGTCAAAACTGCATTTTATTGAAAGCTACTGAATCTTTCATAGAAAAACATTTTTGTTCAAACATTATGTGGCTACACATTTATGGAATATCCTGTCTGCAGAAGTAGAAGTAAAGTATTTGCTCCTCATATCACTGCACAGAGAAACCAGCATCACTTCAATCCAACTGTGTAAAGCACATCTAGAAGAAGAGTGGGAGACATTTCTCTTACCTCCATAAACCTCGGAGGTAGAAGCCAACAGAAGTCTTGCACCCACACGTTTGGCCAGGCCTAGGAAACAAACAACATAGTGACAACAGTGTTCTTTTGAAAGAAACAAATGAGCTCAAAGGCCTTAAACCTGATTAAATGTCCAGATTAGAAAGAAGCGAGATAACACAAACTGTACCGCTGCCAAGGTTGCACATCTACAAAAACTAATAAATTCACATGGCAACCTCAACACAATGGTGCTCTTCCCTTCATAGCGATGTCCTGAATATATTCCATGTTTATGTCAATATTCAACATTCATACGCTCTCTGACTGTGGTGCCAACAAATCCTTTCTGATTTGATTCATGGGATGTTTCAAAGTCACTCTTTTAAACATGACAGAACCCGCCATGGATAGAGCTTCAATTCTCACCCAATGTTTGGCACCTGAGAGCTAGAAGTAGCACCGCCGGAGAACAACAATGAGCAGGAGAATAAAAATATGAAGGAAAAAGACGGTTCTCACTTCTCTCATGGGCTGTACGATTGATGAAGTTTAACGTTTATTTTGCAAATGAAAGCATATCACTGTGAGTGTGAGAAAAGTTGAACTTCTCACGAGAAAGAAAGAAAGAAAGAAAGAAAGAAAGAAAGAAAGAAAGAAAGAAAGAAAGAAAGAAAGAAAGAAAGAAAGAAAGAAAAAACAGGGTTCTGCTTAATTTTGAAGAGTCTGCCTGCACCCACACAACACAACGTGACATCACATTTACAAAGTATTTTTCTGGGCTAATGTGGGACACGAATGTAGACTATTTCCTCTTTGACCCCATTTACAAGGGAAAGAAACATGTTTTATGTCTTTGGATTCAGCACAACACTGTTTTGTTGTTGTGAAACTGAAAAGGAAAACAAGTAATTACAAACTATAAAAACATGATAAGGAAAAGCCTTAAGGAAATACACCAATGTGTTTTGTATGCTTTGACCTTGTAACCTATATTTTAACTCTGGTTTTATTCCACTCCCTGCTCACTGTCCTTCTATCAGCTTATCAGTCATTTGTGAAGAACTTTGAACCGCACTAAATTGGTTGAAAGGTGCCGTTCAAATAAAACTGGATTGTTTTTGAGACCTATTCTACTTTGATACAAACTTAAGTCGGTCACGTGCAGTTACTCACCAAGCATGTTAAGTGTGCCGATGGTGTTTGTCTTGAGTGTTTTGATGGGATTGTACATGTAGTTGGGAGGGGAAGCTGGAGATGCCAGATGATAGATCTGGTCCACTGTAACAGGCAGGAGGGAAGAAAAACAGGTCATTTCACCAAGAAACGCACACATCAGCAAAATGTTCATGAGAGTGATTCTGAATTATTTCCTTTCTTTTAAACCTGACAGCAAGCTTTGGAGCTGTGTGGTGCAGAAATATAGGAGATAGAATCAGAGGGGGGAAATGCTGGAATAATGCATTAGGTTAAAGCTAAAGGAGAAAATGAGTCAGAGATCTTTTTTTTTCTTTCTATTATGCCCAATGTCAACTAAGGACTAAAGCCAATTATATCTTTACTTTGGTGCAGAGCTGTTTGTAGATTCTATGAAACAGAGAAGTCATATCTCACACAGGAAAATCTTATCCAAGTTCCAAGTGTGAATCAAAGAATGTCAGACATTTCAAAAAGAACACTCGAAACAAAGGTGCAATTGTGCAAAAAAGCCACATGATGACTTTCTGTCTGTTTGAAAAATTGTGTTTCTATACATCATTGCTCCATATTGATCTTAACATCTCTAAGGCCACAACTAAGAACAGTGCCGACCCTGTATGTCACCAATGTTTCAGAAAAATCTATAACAATTAGGCAATGTATTGCATGGGGAATCATATTTGAAACTGCCTGAGAAGTGAAAGCATTACTGTAAGTCAAATCTAGCAGTGTAACTGAACATTTGTTCACTGAACTTCATTTTTCTTTTTTTTGCAGTACAGCTTGTTCCCTGTGTTTATCTTTAGATGAGATTACATAGGATGTATCGTTTTGTGAATTTTCCCTATGGGGTATCAATAAAGGTACATCTTATCTTAAACATTACACTTAATGGACAAAAAGTAATGACCCAAATGCATGACGTTCATTTTAAATGTCAGAAAACTTAATAGAAGTACTTAAAGTAACATCAGGCATGTTATTCCAGATACATTACTTTTTTTTTCTCACATCAATCAACTGCTGTCTTGTTTAAAACAAGGGCAAGGGACATAAAATAAATCAATAGTTTCTATTATTTTATACAGTGAACAAATGAAAACATGAAATAATGATCTAAAACAATTTCATTTAATGACTAGAAGCTAGGACTAGCACCACCTTTTCTCCGGGGACATGCTAACAGGCAAAGCACATAAAAGGTGGTTCTCTCACTTGCTACTTTCTTATGCAGACGGGAGTCCATGTGAGTTGAGCCACTGTCTACATGTTTGTGAGTAACTGACCAGAGCAGAGCACTAAAACCAATCATAACTTGAAAGAACGTTATGTGCTCCTGTACTCTGCATGAAAACACGGGTTGGGCAAATAATCTATGTGCTTATCCTCGCCAAACAGTCTAATTGCTCTTTATGTGTTCCAATAGGTACTCCCAACCATCTGTGACTGTATTCTTTATCACTCTTTATCATCGTCCCATTTTCTAAAGCACTCAAATCCTTTCTTGTCAAGGCTGTCGTCATCACCGGTTGAAGGATTGACCTTCGGATCTATGCCTCATTTTCCTTTTCACATCTACTCTCTTAACATTTCTCAAACCACTGTTGTACAAAATTTCTTTTCGAAAATACAGACTTCCGGTTTTCATGCTATGGCGAGCAGAAGGAAATCTCTGCATTTCTGGTGTTAGCAACAGCTTCAAAAAATTATGATCATACAAAAAATATGAAGTGTCTAATATATGTGTAGCATCAAGCATTTTGTTCCCTACTCAGACCACGTACCATTTGTGCATTAATTAAGTTGCTCGTTTTCATATTGTATTCATATGTAACAAATAGCATGAACTGCGTACGACATCTGCAATGAATGGAAAAAAATAGGATGTATTCAAATGTTACATTGTGTAAATAAACAGGCTTTACCAGCAACGCTGATAGTGTTATACAACTACCTTATACTGAAGGCAATTTGTCCGTCTGAATAAATTGTAATAACTGCTTTGGCAAACACTGTTTAGACGCAGAGACCTAGTATTAGCTTTTCAAATGGAAGTCATTTATCACAGCTGGAGTAAAGGATAAATATTTTGTTCAAATAGATGAACTCTATGCAACCAAGGGAAAAGATAAAGGCATTGTGGATTACATGTCTGGGTAGCATTTTAGATTTGTTTCTTATAATAAATGATCATTCTGACAAAAATGTTTACAATCATCATTATACATCCAAATAATTGCTATAATTATATTCCATAATCACTCTAAGCATCAGCCCCCTGATGCATTCCTGTCAGTTAGAGTTCACTGCCCTCGGTAATTTTGATCCAGAGGTTTTATATAATTACCCGAGAAAGGTGAGGTGTGAAGCCAGGGCATTTAGGGATACATATTCTAAGATAAATGGATATATGCTGCTACAACTTAACACTATCACAGCTCATTATTTTAATAAAGACAACTGATTGATTGTCATTATTTTGCTAGTGTAAAATAATTATTATAAGTCAAACTAACCCTAACCCTAACCCGAAAGCTGGTCACACACTGATCATCAACAACACGAGTGGGCAGCAGAAGGCAAAAATGTTATTTCTCACAGTCAGTCTTTTACTCACCTTCAATATAGAGAGGCTCCACCACATCATGATTGATGAGCTCGAAGTTCTCGTGACCAATCCAGTGCTCTACATTTCTCTTTCTCCCTGTGAAGAAGTTGTCGACCACAGTCACCTCATGGCCATCCATCATCAACTTGTCAGTCAGATGAGAACCTACAAAACCAGCTCCTCCAGTAATCTGGTGGAAGAAGAAACATGCATGATAACAAAGGGAAAGGACACTTTTTGAAACACTGTCATGTTATTTTCTCAAGAGCTTACTAACATGCAAAGCAGACAAATCCTCAATATGAACAGTTGAAACTGTAAGTTTACATACACTGTATAAAAAGACATGAAACCTTATTTTCTCACAGTCTGACATTAAATCAGGAATAAAAAATGTTTCCTCAAAATTCTCTCTCTCATTATTCTGGCATTTAGCAAATAGAAATAATTTTAGTAATCCTAACTGACCTTAAACAGGAAAAGTTTAGTCACATTTAATGTCATATAGTGGGAAAAAAAAGATTATTACACAAGTTTTTATACAGTGTATGTAAACTTCAGGTTTCAACTGTAGGTACACAGATGTAGATCCATCCATCCATTATCTATACACTGCTTAATCCTCACTAGGGTCACGGAGAGCTGGAGCCTATCCCAGCTGACTTAGGGTGAAGGCAGGGGACACCCTGGACAGGTCGTCAGTCTATCGCAGGGCTACACTTAGAGACAGACAACCAAGCACACTCACATTCACACCTATGGACAATTTAGAACCACCAATTAACCTCAACATGTTTTTGGACCTTGCGGGAGGAAGCTGGAGAACCCGGAGGGAACCCACACTGCAAACTCCACGCAGAAAGATCTCGGTTGTCCTCACTGGGACGCAAACCGGCGACCTTCTTGCTGTGAGGCAACGATGCTAACCACCGCACCACATTGCAGCCCACAGATGTAGATTTGTTTCAAGAAGTTACATTTTATATATTATATTAAAACTGTTAATACATAAATCTCCTGCAACCTGCTGTTGATGAGAAAAAAAGAGAGCACATCCTGACTCCAGTGACAATCCAGATCACACATACAGTGTACAACAAAACAGAGTACAACGTCCTGCAAAATCACAAAAATTATGAAATGATTCAAAACTCTATCATCTTACATGAATGTACTATTTAAATCAAAGTGTATGGTATGTGGTTCTATGTTAAAAAATGCATGCAGTCTTCATTAGTGAGATTTCATTCTTGTATTTTTCAATATCTTGCATCTCCAACTGTATTTTTGGTGACAGATTTGGTTCTCCTGGGCACAGTGACACCAGTCTCACACAAATCTATGGAGAAGTGTTCTGTCGTTTTTTTCACAGATGATTCTTTCCAGCTGATGTTGGCTGGAGGGGTGTTGTTGCTCTACGTTCCACTTAAAGATACTGAAAAGGTGTTCTTGTCTGGGGACATACTTGACAAAATAGGTCACTTATCTTTTCTTTAAAAAATCTTGCATTATTATTACGGTGTGTTTGGGATCATTTCATGCTGGAGAATTGCTCTCCTACCAAGCCTCTTGAGACTGGAAGTCATGTTTTTATTCAGTATTTGAGTGTACAAACACAGCAGTGGCATCTATAAATGTCATTGCCCCTACACTGTTTGCACTCATGCAGCTTTAATATCATCACTCTTCCACCTCAATGCCTCACGGTTGGCACTATGCCATTACAGCTGTCACTGTTGACAGTGTCCAGTTTAATCTTGCAATCTTGTGCCATTTTGTGAGCAATGATGTTCTTTTTGGACACTGTCCATAGAGGTTGACTTCATGCAATGTGTTCCACACTGTCTAAGCAGTCACTAAAACAAATGCCTCCACAGATAAGCCTTGTGCCAAGTCGAAAACACACTCATGTGAACTCAAGTGTTACAAAAGTATTTGAGATCATGTTCAGAAGCCTACTGATGCTCCGGTACCCTTCACCATCAATATTAGGTTTTACAAGGTCTTTTCTTTTATAATCTTGTTCATAGATTTTGCCAATAAATGTAATCCACTTAATTTTTAAACAAGACGCTTTGTAAACTGCAAATCAACTAAATAATTGATGTAATCCTGAGTACGAGGCTACCATTGCAGGTCTGTTTCTTTAATATATATTTTCATCTCCTGCTACCACCAGCACTTTGTCCCTGTGACGCTACAGCTGAATGAATACATTTAAAAATGGAATGTACTACTCCAGCACTTTATCTGCTGAATGATGAATGAGTAGGTTACACTGAATAAAATGCAACAGAGAAAAGTTTTTAAACTTTTAAACTAAAAGCTGAGGCTTCCTTACAGCTGCTGCTGTGTTCATTGGAAGTAAATAGGCTGTAACACATATACAATGATAAAAGTACATATATTTGCACAAGGGGCTGCAAAGTGGTGCGGTGGTTAGCACCGTTGCCTCGCAGCAAGAAGGTTGCCAGTTCGCGTCCCGGTGAGGACACTCGGGATCCTTCCATGTGGAGTTTGCATGTTCTCCCCGTGCAGTGTGGGTTCTCTCCAGGTTCTCTGGCTTTCTCCCACAAGGTCCAAAAACATGTTGAGGTTAATTGGTGATTCTAAATTGTCTGTAAGTATGAATGTGAGTGTGCTTGGTTGTTTGTCTGTAAGTGTAGCCCTGTGATAGACTGGTGACCTGTCCAGGGTGTCCCCTGCCTTCACCCTAAGTCAGCTGGGATAGGCTCCAGCCCCCCATGACCCTAGTGAAGATTAAGCGGTGTATAGATGATGGATGGATGTTTGCATAAATCCAAAATTTTATTTCTAGAGAATTAAAACGGAAGGTTCTGCTGTATCAACAATTGCTCTTTTCACCATTCACCACAAACACACTTAACTCAGAGTTGACTTAATTAACTCTCCATCTCAGATTTTGTTAAAAACGATTTCTGAAATGGATCCCTCAGGACAAGGTAATATCGATACACTAAAACAAGGTTTGACAAAGCAGAACACAAACAGTCAGCAACAAAAGGAATTGTTTCTTGTTACACTTTGACCCCTACATTGTAGTCTATCTAACCTTTGCGTTTTTATTTATACTGTTATAGCTCAGGGCCATGACCCAAGTAAATTAGTTATTGAGAATGTGATTGTGGACTTTCAGTGTGATGTGTGTCACATACCAAAATTCTCTTCCGATCCTTTTCTGACAGGAATTTCACTGGTGGGTATTTCTGAGAAAAACTGCAAGAGAGAACACAAAGTCCTTAGTGATGACAATGTGAAAGCCAAATCAATTGAAAACAAAGCAAACTAGAGCAATATCTCCTAACTGTGAATCCAGTTCTTGAATAATAAATAAATGGGCTTGTACTGCCGATTTCTGGGAGCTCTCTAGTCATTGCATGTGCCATACATGAAGTGATTTGAATAGGGAACCGTGTTTTTCTGGTTCGCAAGCTCTGAAGCAATATGGTGTCTGGCTTCATCTGTAAAGATTTAATGAATGAGACTTGATTTTTAATCTGGAACCGTCTTGAACAATATTAATTCAATTTAGAGACTACAATGTTTTCATACCTGATAGACAACCTATGAAAATAGGTGTATTTCCTCTGTCAGCATTCAAGGTTTCTTAAATAACCATTAAAAGCACAGGATGACATGAGCAGCAGTTGTTTCACAACAAAGAAACCAGGGGCTTCATTCATCCATAAGCCTGTGTCGACATAGTTGCAACAATTCACTGTGGCTTCTCAGGAGAATCACGTGGATATAAAGTATGTTCTTTTTATTTTTTTCCAAAGATTTTTTTTTGCCTTTATTCTACAGGACAGTGAAGAGAGACAGGGAAACATGGGGAGAAGAGTAGGGGAAGGACATGCAGCAAATGGACTCAAACCGTGGCCACTGCATCGGGGACGATAGCCCCTGTACATGGGTCACCATCTTATCTGGCTGAGCTACTGGGGTGCCCCAAAGTATGTTCCTTTTAAAGGTTCATGTAATAATGTTATGTATTGCAGTATAAACAAAGGTTCACATAGACACAATCATCTGAATAAGAGCCTTTGTATTTCAGTCTCATTAGTATTCAAAGCATCAAAGGTGAACATGGAGTATAGTCAACATCCAAAACAGAATTACTGTTCTGTACAGAAAAGTAGAATTACTGTACCAACAATATCCACTGTTGAAGAGTCAGTACAAGCTTAAGTCATGGTGGCCTGCTTTGCAGAAGTCTCCTTATATCAAACACCACGTGACTTTGCATAAAACTAATTACAATACTTTTTGCCTGTCAAATATCTAGTAAAAGGAACACAATCTTGAAAATCAGCAAAGCTTCCTTGCTTGTCTTCAAAACTGTACTCATCTGCATGTAAAGTTAATTCATGTTATTCAGACGCTGCACAGTCTAGATGTTTAAGTTTTTAAAGAAAATTAAATTACATTTCTAGACAACAAATAAATAAGGAATAAATAACTTTTTAACCAAATTATTGGTACATGGCACGAGCTGAGTTGGTCTCGTAATGTAACAGTGTTTGCTGATATTGAGACGAAGATACACACCTTTGTTCCAGATCGCGAATCTTTTCTCTGAGCGGAGCAATAACCTAAGGTGAGATGAAAAGTAAGAGATGCATGAGCTGAGAGTACAAGTCAAAGCTTATATTCAATTGATCCAGCAGTGTATTAATGTTACCACACCAGTATGATAATGTAGGTTTATGCTTCAGTTCATCTATATTTATTCATGTATCTCTTGACCAGGGATCTCCAACAAGACACTTCTGTGCAGAACAGGTGGAGGTACCTTTGATTTGCTGTGACTGTATCTAGTTTTCTATTTATCATTTATTGCCCAGTTTACAGAATATTCCCACCACCCTCCAGTGTCCATACCTCTTCACCTATGCAAAGGTAGACTAGCTCCAGCACAAACAAACAATCATAGTGGAAACTTGCTATCTGCGTTTTAGGTTTCTGCTCAAAAATCCTTTTGAAACTGCAAAAATTACACACAAAAAAAATATTGGACTGCATCAACCCTTGACTATAACAGATGACCGCAACAAGAAATGCCAGCCACAATCACCTTGTGCAGCACAATGGTGCTCATAATAGGTGTACCAGCAGTCATGCATACAATGTGCGGGACTGTATAGGAAACACACTACAAACAGGGTTTGCCAATGTAAATGTATACATTCAGACCTTTCTACATAACATGCTACTGAACAATAGCGTCACGATTGTAGCCGAGGTTGACTGAGTGTCAACAACAGAGGAATAAACAGCCTGCTTGGGCAAATCTCTACCTAAACAAACCTGCTTTTAGTTTACAGAACAAACATCTCCTGAAAGCTTACACTGCTTTTCAAGAAAATGGAGACCTTTGAGATCTGCAGTTTTGGTCCAAACACCAATGTATTGTTTTTCTTTCTTGTTTAAAGTAATCTCCGTGGGTTGCCTTATAAAAATCAAGGGTCTAAGGACAGAGGTTTGTGTTGTATAGACTGTGAAGCCCTGGAGGTAAATTTTGTGCTGTGTGATGTTGGGGTAAATAAAACTGACTGGACTTGCATATGAGAACCTACATGTACCAACAGCAGTTGCAGTCGTAAGTGTAAACCATAAACCATAGTATGGCTTTCTTTCTTTAAGTTGGTGCAGAACAACTCGGAATAAAGATCAGGCATTCTTAGTGATTTCCTAACTTCACTGGGTAAATATATTGACAGGTCAAATGCAAACTACATGTCTTGTCATTAAAAATCACGATGCAGAGTCATCATTGCTCTTTGTACTTTAAAATGGTTTGAAAGCATCATAGCGTGACCTGTAAGATTACCAGAAATGTGATAGCCAATTCTTTAAACTCTAAGGTCAGCATGATAACAAACTATAATTATTTCAACGTGCACCTGCAATCTTTGATAAGCACACACTTTGATTCAGTATTAACGGAATTCTAATTTGTGCCACGCAGCTGACTTTTTAACTGTGTGTGTGCACGCTGCTGAATGCGGTTAATGAACTTGAGATTTAAAAAAAAAAAGTATTTCTCAAAATATAATTAAGATTTAAGTTTGTTTGTGTGGGACATAGATAACAAAAATGTCCTTGAACACAAAGCACAATATTTTGCAGCTGAGTGAGTGTCACATGCTGTACAATACTGTGTAGGCAGTTTTCTCTCTGTGTGGCACCGGCTATTATTCAAGGATGCAGGACAAAGAAAAGGAAACTGGGCAGGTATTGTGGTGATAGCAAATTTGTTGTCACCTTTAGAGCACAAAAAATGCCTTAAAATGTGTTCATTTACAGGAAAAGTAAAGGAGATGCAGGCAACCACACCAAAGTTGAAGCTGAAGTTACATGAACTGATGAACTAACAAACAAACCAAATAATTATGCTGCCTCTGATGTTCTGTCCAGGACATCTGTAACCAATATGCAGCAGTTTGTGTCAGAAACACCTGAAATATATTTAAAGTCTTTCAGTATTGGTAAAACATGTTAGACTAAAGATAAACAGTCACTATTTTACCCACACAATAAAACATTTAGTATTAAAAACTAATCAAACCACTTATTTTCCTGAAAACGATAGAGCTACATGTAATCGAAAATAAACGTTGGTTTGAAAGGAAAAGCTTCTGGTGCAAACACTGACTGGCAGACGTTCAGGCAGCATAGGAACTGTGTCATCACTTTTATGAGAAAAGAAAATCATATCATCTAGCTTCCTTCTTATAGTGCAACAGTCATCAACATGCATCCTGGAAATGTAGCAAAATCCTTAAAAAAAAAACAACAAGTCACTGCAGTTTTGCAAAACTGACTTCCTCATAGTTCCAATTCAGATTTTGTCTTAGACCTGTAACATACCGAGAAGTAAAAGATGTTTTAACAAGATTAAACATAAGAAAGCGTCCGAGTTAGGACAGTTTTGGTGTGCAGAGCTTATGATGCAGTCTTCCTGTTATTACTGCACCACTTGTACACATATTAAGTTCAAGTTTTACTTCAAGGAAAATCCCCTACAGGTGTCTTTTAATAACTATCGATTCATATCCAAGCTGCCTAATCTGTTAAAAATCCTAGAATCCCGAATGAATTCACAACTACGTGCCTTCCTGGAGGACAGCAATATCCTTCAGCCACAGCAGGCTGGTTTCTGATCTGCACAGTAACTGCTGCAACTGCTGTTGTGGATGAAACAGTTAACTCACTCGACAAAAAGCAGCGCTGTGTTGCACTTAAGAGCTAAATCTATCCAGGGCTTTTGATGCTGTCTGTCACAACGGTTTGTTAAGTGAGCTGCTTTCTGGCTCTGACTCTTTCCATCTGGGCGCAGAACTGTGCAGTGACATTGTTGTTGTCATGTGATATGCTGTTGAATCTTTAGGGAACTGCAGTGCCCCAATCGCACATTATCAACAGTAGATTCTCCTGCAACATTAATTTAAAGCATGTTGCTCAAAAATTCAAAATGGATTCTTATACCAGAAACAAAGTTTGCTTATTCTCAAAAACAAATGAATGTTATACAATGTACCATACTGTTGGTAGTGGATTATGATGATATTCTTTGTGCTCATGCTGCTGCAGCTACTCTTAAACTATCGGATGTGTTATCCCACAGTGCTGTGACTCAGTAATGTTGACAGCTATCACACTCACCACTGGGAGTTATATGAAATGGTTGGTTGGTCATTACTGACATCTAGAAAGCAGCAGCATATCTGTGTCTTTCATTTTTAAAGGTCTGCTGTCTAAGCTTCTGAAATATTTGGCATTTTTAGTTTAGTACAGAGCTAATACCCAAACAACATATCACAGAACAGATGTGCTTTTCAAGAGTTAGGGGTATACAAATTCACATTCAAGTAACTTTATTTATCTCCTAGGGGCAATACAAAAATATTATACAAAATAATAATAAATATTAAAATAAATATTATACAAACTCTAACCTGTGGAAACTGGTTTGACTGGTAACAATCTGCTCAATACAGGATTGAACTAAATCCATCCATCCATTATCTATACAACACTTAATCCTCAATAGGGTCGCAGGGGGCTGGAGTCTATCCCAGCTGACTCAGGGTGGGAATCACACCTACAGACAATTTAGAATCACCAATTAACCTCAGCATGTTTTTGGACTGTTTGAGGAAGCTGGAGAACCCATGCTGCACGGGGAGAACATGCAAACTCCACGCAGAAAGATCCCAGGCGTCCCAACTGAGGCGCAAACTGGGGAACTTCTAGCTGCGAGGCAACGATGCTAACCACAGAGCCGATGTGCAGCCCTGCACTGCATTCACGTTGCCACCTTTGTGTTTCTTTAAGCCTATCACAACTGTCTTGGGCAAGCTAAGAGCTGGCCACAGCAGTGGTGCTAACTCAAAATACTGAAGAGGGAATTGTTTTGGTGGAGCATTGACATACAGCAGGAGAGCACTGCCATTAAAATTGATAATTTACCAAAAATGCAAGGCTGCCTTATTGCATGATTCAAACCTTTGAAAAAACTTTCAGCATGTAAGTTGCTGCCCAGAGGTGCTTGTTGTTATTTCCTGTAGTAAAGTGGATTTGTAAAATGACGACGTGTAAATATACATGAAATACGGAAATCAATATTTGCTGAGTCAGACTAATCTCATGTTGCCTTTAGATCTTGATCTCAGTGCGATTTCTTGAAGAGATTAAGCTCAACTTAACACCAACAATTTGATAACTTTCAGGAAGCAAGAAACAACAAGTCCCAAAGAAAGACTGCACTGAAAGAATAATAAACCTAGGTGAATATAAAGGACTTCAACGACGTATTCTTTCAGTAGTTCTTCAGTGTTGAGTTGACTCTTGATAATCTTAAACTGATAAGCTTGAAATAAAGTTTGAATCCTGTAATTTGCCTAAAGCCATCTGCCGTACACTTCAGCTGCAGGAATGTCAGTTAATATTGAAATTGTGAGTTATTGGGAAGAAACAAAAAAGAAAAGAAAACATATACACACACATACACACATTGCCTAATTTATATAAAAGACAACTACAGACAACTATCAAATTATCTAATTACGTTGTCAACCTAAAGAGATAATTGCTGAACTTATAAACTGGGCAGCAGCTAAATTGAAGTAACATAAAATTGCACTCATTGCAACCTTCTTGATCAAGTCACGGGTTAATCAGTTTGTCTCATATATCTGTGGCTGAAGACCTGTCTTCAAAGGAGATTTAAAAAATTTATTTCTTTGAAAATAAATGTGAATGTATCCCATGGTATGTTTTTCTTTTTCTTTAATAATGTGATTGTTCATGGTGTTCAAAACCAATTTACTTTATTTTAACAACAGCAAACATCTGAGGTTTATGGAACAATCTCACAAAATAATGATCTGCTGTGTGCTTTGCTTAAAGCGTGAAAATCAAAAGGCATAAAAATACTTGAAGTTTGAATAACAAGGCACATATATTAAAAATTCAGTATATTACCCATTTATTAAATAATTTTTAGGATTGGGATTGCTTGGCTTGGAGATTTTTTAGGCCTTATCAAAAATTCTGCTACGACTTCTGAGGTTGTGAAATAATGTAATCCATGAACTGTCCTTACATGTGTACCTTTGCCAGGGTGTATGCATAATATCAATATTAAATATGTTAACAAGAAAGAAAAAACAAGGCTTCTTGGACCTGTAACAAACAACAGATTAACAGGGCGAAAGTAGCTTTCTTTGTCAAACTCACTTCATCAATTCTCTGCTCAATCTTCATCTTTCCCTGTTCCTGTATTGATCTATATTGAGAGACAGACAAGGAAAGAAGAGGAGAGATGATGTCAGCCACAATGCCAAGGTTAGAGAATAAAAGTTATTCATGATAAACATGATGGTACCTGTAGGTAGCAACACATGAACCATCACCCCTGTTAATGCCATTAAAAGTGAGGTGATACTAATAAACAGGGTTCCTACACATTTGAAATTTCAAAATTCCATACTTTTTCCAGACCCTAATTTCCAGACTTCTCGGTAAAAAAAAATTCAAATAGTGATCTTAGTTCACTTGATGTTGTCGGACATGGTCTCATGCTGGGTTTAGCCAAAAACGCTGTGACTCTCAGTGCAGAGGATGCAGTGACAAGACGAAAATGTTTTTTCCGCTGCATGACTCACAGCCGCCGCCTCCTCCATGTTGGAGATGTCAAACAATTTCACACAAAGTCTGCATTTAGCTTTCTTTATCCATTTGGGATCCTTCTCCAACCAGTCTTTATATTTGGGATTTATGAGCCAGTCTTCAGAGAATTTACATTTACCCATTATGAGTTCTGTCAACGACCAAACAAGACATTTTGAA